TGCTTGCCTTTCTGCAACTAGCGTGAGTGCCCATCCATCCCCGTTCCACTTACAGCACCCGATGCTTCCGTGGGGAAGAATAGGAAATGTCCCTGGTATTATCGATATTTACCGGAATACCCTTTCGCGGCAAAAAACGGCTATAATAAGAAATGGGGCCCCTGTTGGGACCCACATCACGTGATGTGCGGTCAGGATCACGTGACTGGCTGGGTTCGGGTCGGGTGAGGCCACATTGCGGCTGGGTGGTCGCCATCAGACTCGCTGCACTAATTATTCTGAATCTAAATCTCACCGCTGGTGAGAGATTCCCATTTAATCAGCTGTTTTTTTCTTTTCAGGATTCTGCTAGCTCGAAAATCAATTTAAATTTAAATTTTGAATCCAATTAAGTTTTTGCTCTGATCGAAAGAAACAAGTCGTGCAATGAACCGTAACTTTAGATCAAATTTTTTGAAACTGATTTTGGGTCATACATGAATCGATTTGAACTGACTCGAGATCAGTTTGGGTATTTTTATTTACAAAAATTAAGTATAGAGAGTGAGAGTTCGCTCGTTTCAATTTCAGTCTGGATTAAGCTCGATTCTATTTTGAGTTGGTTCAGCTAGAAATCGAATACAACGAGCCCGATTTCTACCACAAGCTGATTTCTAGCGGACCTCAGTTCAGCTTGAAATCGGATCATTAACTGTCATCATTCTGAGTAAAGTGTCAAAATAATCCTGACTATTATATTGGGTCATTTTAATCCTAGGGTTTATAAAAATGTAAAAATAATCTCCATTTATTTTAAAATTGTGCTTTAATAGCCTGATACTAATTTGACACTTCTATAAACTCGGATTAAAACTACCCCATATAGATAGTTGAGAACTATTTTAGCTCTTTAATCTTTAGGGTTCTCAAGTAATGAATTAGAAGTAATGATTTATTTTATGTAATATAAAATCTATAAGATTGGAAAAAACTTAAAAAACTTTACATTTTAGGTTCTGTTTGGGGCAACTGTAGCTTATTAAAAAGCAGATTTGATACTGCTGACTAATAATTTGATGCTCAAAAAACTGCGGTGGTTGTTACACATTTTTTTCAAGTCAAACCATAGCGAAAAAGTTGTCACTGTGTCTAGTCAGGAGTGATGGGTAAACTCAGTTTCAGCGACAGCTTTTTGAAAAAATTGTCAAGCAGTTTACCCACTAGACAAAATTATGATGTGGTGTCACACTGTCACCGCACCACCGCCCCCAAATAGACCCTTAATCTTCTTATATGCTTGAGGTAAGTCTTGACTCTAATTGATCAAAATTTCATGTTAACTACTTTTAAACAATATCGTCACCACCCATGGTCGCTATTTCACTGGATAATATGTTAAATTAGTTAGCAAATTATTGGATGGCATAACATGAAATTTCCTATTAATAAGTTATTAACATGCCATACATGAAAGTTTCTTTCTATTTGATAGTGATAAATTGATAGTAATTTGGAAGCATAATAATAATATAATTCTTATTATTGAACTACCCCTCACTAGATGCATAAATTTAATTTTCTCCTAGTAATTAACAACACATTCATTCAATATTGTTTTCGATATAACACATGTTGTGTGCTATAAAATTCATGATTATAGAGTGATAGATCAAACATCATATCAAACACAATATATTTTATGTGAAAAGCTTAAAAAGATAAAAAATTTCGAGGCTTAACACTAGCTTTATTTTTTCTACGTTCTAAAGATTAGACAATGTAGAACTTCTTGAGAATATCAACCAAGATGCAAACAACTACTTATGGTGGTTGGCGATGATCTCGTGATCATTGATTTTTCTCTCGCTACAAACGTGGGGATTTAGTTTTTAGCTTCTTCTCAATCATCGTGTTAAAAGTATA